CTCGCCGCGTGACGTTCCCGCGCCGGCACCGGCGGCTCATGGGCGGTGCGCGCCCTCGTCCTCCGCGCGGCGCCAGCCCCCGCCGCCCCCTCCGCGCTTTGAGGCGTCGGTTTTGGGTCTTAACGGCCGCCCTGGCGCAGGCCCCGCAGCCATTTCCAGCCGCGACTGTTGGACGGGGGCGGCCGCGTCCGCGGGCCCGCGAGCTGTTTGTTGGGTGCGCGGCGCTCCCCCGTGCCCGGCCAAAGCTGCAAACGGCCCCGGACCCCGAGGGGTCCCGAGGCAGCCCGCCACTCGGGTCCCGGGCACAGCCCGGGGGGGCCCTTTCGGGGGAACCCGGGCTGGGTGAAAGTTTGCTGCAATACCGCTGAAACTCGGAAAAAGCTGGCAGCCCCCCAAACTCCAGCGGGCACCTTTCTGCATGTTGGGGGCGCAATTAACTGGTCCCCTAAAGGCGCCACTGTATGCGGCCCTTCTCCCCCTTGCAGAGATGCCGCTTGACACTTTACACATGAGTTACGGCTGTCCTGTCGGCGATGGAAGAGGAGAAGCCACGATGCCGCCTTTGGGGGTGGGGCATGTTTTTAGTCCTATTTTATGTTATTAGTCCTATTTTATTTTTTTAATCTGTTTATTGATAAGGGAGAGAGAGAAACATCAATGATGACAGAAATGCCTCCTGCACGCCCCCCACTGGGGATGGAGCCTGCGACCCCGGCATGTGCCCTGACCAGGAATCAAACCGCGACCTCCTGGTTCATATAGGTGAATGCTCAACCACTGAGCCGCCCTGCGCCGGGCTTATTAGGCCTGTTTTACAAGAGAAAGCTCCTTGGCGGGGCTGCTCAGTTGGGTAGAGAGCGTCGTATAGATACACCAAGGTTTCAGGTTCAATGCCGATCCCTGGTCAGGGCACATACAAGAAGCAACTAATGAATAAGTGGAACAACAAATCGATGTTTTCCTTTCTACCTCCCTTCTCTCTCTCTCTCTCATCAATCAATAAAAGGAATGACATTGACATCCTACAATATGGATGAACCTTGAAGACATTATGCTGAATAAAATAAGCCAGACACAAAAAGGCAAATACTGTATGGGAGTGAGGTGGTAGGGAAAATAATTTTCAGTAGCTCACTTTTGTGGACATGAGATTCTAGTCCTGTTCATTTGTCTTTGAGGTTTTGTTACCTACCTGAAAACTGGACTGGAGCCTGGCGGGGGGAAGTGGAAGAGGGTATAGGGGAGATAGCTGGTGAGGGAGGGAGACTTGGGGTGATGAACACCCTATACAGTGACCAGATGATGTGCTGTGGAATTGTGCACCTGAAACCTGTATAATTTCATCACCCCAAAAATCATTAATAAGGACAAAATTGGACTGGATCCTGAAGTCTAGTTCTCTCCAACATCTAACATTTTTTAAAAATGTATTTTTATTGATTTCAGAGAGGAAGGGGGAGGGGGAGAGAGAGAGAAACATCAATGATGAGAGAGTCTTAATTGACTACCCTCCTGCACACCCCACGCTGGGGCCTGAGCCCTCAATCTGGGCATGTGCCCTGACCTGGAATCCAACCAGTGACCTCCTGGTGCATGGGATGGCGCTCAACCAACTGAGCTATACTGGCTGGGCCACAGTTTAAAATTGTTAAAGAAAAAATTTTAAAGTTAACAGGTGATCTCTACAGGATTCCTGAATCTAGAGAGTTTTTGCCTTACCTGCTAGTTGGCTTGTCTATGAACTTGAATTCTCATATCCAGTTTTCTCTCCAAATGTGCCTATTTCATCATTCTCCTAGTCTCTCATCATTGATGTTTCTATCTCTCCTTCTCCCTTTCTCTCTGAAATCAATAAAAATGCATTTAAGAGGCTGAAAGTCATCCTTGGCTCTATCCTTGACCACACTTGGACATTAACACCTTGACCTCTTCAAGCTGTCAGTTGCATCTCTTCCTTCCTACAGCCAATGCCTTAGCTTACCCTTTGTCGTCTCATTTCTTCATTATACCTACTCTTACCTCCCTCCACCAGATTCTAAGTCACACCGAGATACAGACCATGTTATACATTCTCAGAATGAGTTTCAAGTCAAACTGACCTTACATCCTGATTTGACTATTCCTCTCTAAACTTTGGAAATTTACCCTGAGTGTTGATTCATTCCGTTGAAAATGAGAAATAAGGTAACGCACACTCAGGAAGTATGCATCGTGTACCTCTTGTGGATCAAGTACTGGTTTGAGTGAAAAAAGACAGATAAAGGCCCTTCTATGATTCTAGTCCAGCAAGCGTGTCAGCCAGGCAATAAGTGAACAAAGGTTATCCTATGTCCTATCTTGAGCCTGATGCTCAAAGTAGGATGAAATATTCAGAGAGCTTGGGAGAAAGCAATTGTATTTTGCATATAAAAGTTATCAATATAACCCTGCCCACGTAGCTCAGTTGGTTAGAGCATCGTACTAATAATGTTCAACCCAAGGTTGCAAATTTGATCCCTGGTCAGGGCACATACAAGAATCAACCAATGAGTTCATAAATAGGTGGAACAACAGTCCTAGCCGTTTTGGCTCAGGGGATAGAGCATCGGCCCTCAGACTGAAGAGTCCCAGGTTTGATTCTGGTCAAGGACACCTTGCAGGCTCAATCCTGGCCCTGGTTGGGGCGCATGCAGGAGGCAGCCAAATCGATGTGTCTCTCTCACTTTGATGTTTCTCTCTGTCTCTCCCCCTCCCATTCTCTCTAAAAATCAATGGAAAAATATCCTCGGGTGAGGATTAACAACAACAACAAAAAGATAAGTGGAACAACAAACCGACATTTCTCTCTCATCTCTACATCTCAATCTGTATTTCTATCTCCCTTCTTCTCTAAAATCGATAAATAAAAATTAAAAAATAATAAGAGGAACGAATGTAAACAGTTTGTGGCCAGAGGAAAATTGTGCCTGATTAAGATACACAAATTCTTTGACACTCCTTTTGAGACACGGGGTCTGTGTTTCTTCATCTTTTGAATCTGGGTGGGTTCTGTGATTTCACCAATGAAGTGCCAGTTTCAGGCCCAGGTGTTAAGAGACTGACAGTTTCTACTTCCTGTCTCTTGGAACACCTACTCCTGGAATCTGGATGCTAGGCTGCCAGCCCCACGCATAGGCCCACGTGGAGAGAAGCCAAGTGTGCCCCACCCCACCCCAGGCTGCCAGCACCAACCTGTCTTCCAGCCATGTGAGTGAACCGTCTTGGAAACGAATCCTCCAGACTCAGTTGAGCACTTTAATAACTGCCCGAGGGCCACCGGAGCCACTGCCCACACACCCAGAGCTGGGAGTGGCCGAGAATTTCCTCCTCAGTAGCGCTCTTTTGCTGATGACTGACTGGTATGGGTATATAAAAACCAGTTCCCTTGCCTTACGTTTGGAACAGCAATGGGGTATAATTTATACTCGAGTTCCCCCCGCTGTTATCAGGCTAAAGCCATTATCCAGAGGACTTGATACGAAATTCTGACCCTACTTTTTAAAAAAATATATTTTTATTGATTTCAGAGAGGTAGGGAGAGAGATAGAAACATCAATGATGAGAGAGAATCACTAACAGGCTGCCTCCTGCACACCCCACACTAGGAATGGAGCCTGCAACCCGGGCATGTGCCTTTGACCTGGAATCGAACTGTGACCTCTTGGTTCATAGGTTGATGCTCAACCATCAAGCCACACCAGCTGGGCCGTGACCTCATAATTTAATCCATCATGTCCCTCTAATACAGCGGTTCTCAACCTGTGGGTCGAGACCCCTTTGGGGGTTGAACAACCCTTTCACAGGGGTCGCCTAAGACCATCGGAAAACACATAATTACATATTGTTTTTGTGATTAATCACTATGCTTTAATTATGTTAAATTTGTAACAATGAAATTGGGGGTCACCACAACATGAGGAACTGTATTAAAGGGTCGTGGCATTAGGAAGGTTGAGAACCACTGCTCTAATAGAACTTCTCTAAGAACCCTAAGCACTGAGGTTCACAGAGCTTCAGGTTTGTTGTTGTTTTTACATCTTCACCAAGGATATGTTTATTGATTTTAGAGAGACAGGAAGGGAAAGAAACATCAGTGGAGGGAGGGACATTAATTGGTTGCCTCCCATATGCAGACGGACTGGGGACTGAACCCGCAACCTTTTGATGTACAGGATGACACTCCAACCAACTGAACCAACTGGTGGGGAATTTGCATCTTTTATAATAAAGGATATCTTTTTTTTTTTTTTTTTTTAAATATATTTTATTGATTTTTTACAGAGAGGAAGGGAGAGGGATAGAGAGTTAGAAACATCGATGAGAGAGAAACATTGACCAGCTGCCTCCTGCACATCTCCCACTGGGGATGTGCCCGCAACCAACGTACATGCCCTTGACCGGAATCGAACCCGGGACCCTTCAGTCCGCAGGCCGACGCTCTATCCACTGAGCCAAACCGGTTTCGGCAATAAAGGATATCTTTTATACTTTTCCTTGTGATAAGTGTTGTCCTGAGTTCTGTGAGCTGTGATAGCAAATTATTTAGCCTGATGAGGGGGGTCACAGGAACCCCCGATTTGTATCCAAGTAGGACAGAAGTATGGGTAACCTGGGGACCCACCTCTCATGATTGAGTGTATTCTTGTGGGTAGTCTGAGCCTTTAACATGTGCAGTCTACTAACTCCAAGTTGTTAATGTCAGAATGGAATTAAATGATAGGACATATCCAGGTGGTGTCCAAGGAGTTGGTATGGGGAAAGAAGCCCTCACACATTTGTTGTCAAGTGTTGTGAGTAGAGAAAGTTTTCTTTTAAATATTTAGTACCTGCCAAGTGTCAGTCATTGTGCCTAGTACTGGGAATGATTAGCTGAAAGGTAGCCAGCGGTTCTCAACCTGTGGGTCGCCAACAATGAAAATACATCCTGCATATCAGATATTTATATTACGATTCATAACAGTAGCAAAATTACAGTTATGAAGTAGCAACGAAAATAATTTTATGGTTGGGGGTCACAACATGAGGAACTGTATTAAAGGGTCGTGGCATTAGGAAGGTTGAGAACCTAGAGCAGTGATGGCGAACCTATGACACGCGTGTCAGAGGTGACACGAGAACTCATTTTTTTGGTTGATTTTTCTTTGTTAGATGGCATTTAAATATATAAAATAAATATCAAAAATATGTCTTTGTTTTACTATGGTTGCAAATATCAAAAAATTTCTATATGTGACACGGCACCAGAGTTAAGTTAGGGTTTTTCAAAATGCTGACACGCCAAGCTCAAAAGGTTCGCCATCACTGACCTAGAGCCTCCCTGTGGTGGCCCCAGATGTCAAATAAGCAGACAACTACAGTATATGCAAGCTAGTATGCAAATTGTATGGCTTATTGGTTTTCCCTAGCATCCTTGAAACAAATTTAAGTACTGTAGTAGTAACAGTTACCCAAACACATTACCTGTTCTTTCATGCCTCAGAGCCTTTGCCCAAGCTACCTCTAACTAGACCAGTGGTTCTCAACCTTCTGGCCTTTAAATACAGTTCCTCCTGTTGTGAGCCAACCATAAAATTATTTTCATTGCTACTTCATAACTGTAATGTTGCTACTGTTATGAATCGTAATGTAAATATCTGATATGCAGGATGGTCTTAAGCAACCCCTGTGAAAGGGTCGTTCGACTGCCAAAGGGGTCGCGACCCACAGGTTGAGAACCGCTGAACTAGACTATCCTTTCCTCTTTGCCTAGTAACTCCAAATAATTCTTAAATTTCAACTCATACCTTTGCGATCATAACCAAGGAAGCAGGAGTAGCTTTATCCAATACCCTTGATTATTCAGAACAACCTACCAATCGGGTCGGATTTTTAGTACTTGGTACTTTATACAATGGCTTAAGTTACTCTAGATTCATGGTGGTTTTGAACAATAAAATGTTCAGAACACTAGAACATTTAATTTATTATTTTAGTGACACATGGCAATTATTTTAATTATTTACTCATTTATTCAATCATGAAAACCGACTACATGACTGTTGGCTAGGCTTTTGTTTTTAAGAAAATTGATGGAAAATCAAAGCAATTTAAAAAAATATTTCATTGACTTTAAAGAGAGGGGAAGGGACAGGGGGAAAGAGAAACATCAATGTGAGAGCCCAAAACCGGAATCAAACCAGCAACCTTTTGGTGCAGGGGGCAATGCCCAACCAACTGAGCCACACTGGCCAGGGCTCAAAGCAATTTTTAAGAGAAACAATGAAGTTGGAAGATATAACCTACCTAATTTCAAAACTTGTTATAATGCTACAATAATCCAGATAGTTTGATATTGGTGAAAAGATAAATATAAAGATCAATGGGACAAAATGGAGTCCAGAAATAAACCCATACATGGTGGGTCAAGTGATTTAAAAAACTTTTTTTAAAATATTGATTTTAGAGAAAGGGAGAAACATTTGTCCCACTTATTTATGCATTCATTGCTCGATTCTTGTATGTGCCCTGACCAGGGATGGAACCCACAATCTCGGGGTATCTGGACAAAGTTCTAACTAACTGAGCTAAACGGCCAGGGCCTAAGTCTATGTATTTAGCCAAGAGAAACAAAAACATGTCGGAATAAAGACTAATACACAAATGTTCATAGCAGCTATCATTTGTAATAGCCCAAAATTAGAAACGAAAATGGCCATCAATACATGATTGGATGCACAACTTGTGGTAAAACCATACAATGTAATACTACTCCGTAATACAAACAAATACCACATAACCAGCTTATACAATCAATAAGAATGAATTTCAAAATTATGCTGAGTCAAAGCAGCCAGGCAAAAGAGAACACAGTGTATGATTTCATTTGAAACTCCAGGCTGAAGCTTCAGTGGCCCGATTCCTATCCAGCCATGACTCCCCTCTAAGCACATTTCCTGGCTCTTGCCAACTGGGATGTGGACTCTCGTACAAGCCTTGATCTGCACAACTTGTTTCCATGTTCAGCCTCTTCTCTGCCTATCAGACTGCCCAGTCCATTACCACCTGTAGAAACTCGTGCTTTTTGTAGCCTTCACTCCCGAACACATGCGCCTTCTCTAGGCTGACAGTAGCTTTTGAGAGAAGACAGATTCTGACTCATTTTCACACTTTCCCCCACCTCCTCCCGCCCTCTCTGGCCCCATTTCGGTGCCTCGCCCAATGTTTACCACTCATTCTGCCTCCAAAGAACGTTAAGAACTCGGGGAGAAAGAACCGAAAACGCATCAAACAGAATGCCTGGCGCATCTACCGGGCCCCCCAAGTGTGGTAGCGCTTTCCATGCTTAGCCCGGCCAGACGTTATCTCGATCTAACAGTTTCATAAATTTAGGCGCAAGCAAGACCTCTGCTCGGACGGTACAGCCCGAGGGAGGACAAAAAGGCCCTGCATCGTAATGTCATGGAGGCGTGAGGGCCACCATCCCTTCCAGGGAATCTTAAAACTGTGACCTCGGGAG